AATCCCCCCCCGGCCCGGTTTGCTTCGCACGGTGTTGACGCTGGTGCTCCTTGGCTTTGCGACTGGCTTGCTGGTTTGGATAAACGGTGACGAAAAGCTGCTACCTGTCAGCGCCTTGCTTGAACGCCAGGTACGTCACCTGGTTGCGAAAGACACGTGGCCAGAATTGCCTAAAAAGAAGGAATCCATTACCTAAAACAGAATTTGTTTGAATTAGGACCAAGCACAGAGCAACGGTCTGAACCCGACTGGCCAGAATTGCCTAAAAAGAAGGAATCCGTTACCTAAAACAGAATTTGTTTGAGTTAGGACCAAGCACAGAGCAATGGTCTGAACCTGATGGCGGCTGGTGGTTAGGACTGCATTAATGCTGGAGGTGATTTGAAGATCCGGTAGGAAAAAAAACCTAGGAGTCCGCGTGCTCGCCTCCAGCTAGCACTGTTGAAACGGCAGAGTTAGTGGACGCCTACAGTTTGTCTGGAATCAGGAAAAGCTGAGGAAAACAATACAAAGTGTTTCTGATAGAGCGGTGGATGCCGTGGGGTTTTCCTGTAAACATTCAGCGCCGTGGCGCGAATTCAGCATATCCTGACCTGCCTCTGCTTGCCTGGCACGCACCCCTCCCCGCCAGCCTTTCCTGGAGCCAGGCATTGTCTCTTTGCCCGGGAATTCGAGCGGAGAGGCTGAAGTTGCGACTGTCTGACTGCTGTGTCTGAAGATAGGAGAGGGAAGGCTTTAGAGGCTGAAGCTGTCTGGAATCAGTAAGGAATGTGGATGCGAAATGTCTGGGATTAGCAGAGAATGCGACTGTACAGTGAACACCGCGAGCATGTGCAGGACCTAGGACACGTGGGCTCAGGAGCGGGTGTAAAGGAATCGGTTTGGCGGCCTGCGCCAAGAAGGTTCTAGAAGAGACGGATTTCTGAGTGTTGGATTCTTGAAAAAAGCTGGGAGGACAGAACCTGCAACTATGTACTGCGGGGTTCTCAGTTCACAGCTGTCATCACCCAGTCAAGAAGTTCCTGATTTCCATGAGATGGCTCTCCCTGACAACGTAGATTACTTCCAATTTTCGTCTCTGCCAGTCACCTGGGCCCACCCTAACAAAGCGCTCTCCATTACATGGACGTCAATTATGCACGTTGTTAATCAGCAAGCAAAAGATTTTGGCCTCGTCACCTCACAATAGTTTCATTTACGGGACTGTCGCGCACTCATTGAGGCAATTTATTTCCTGCTTCTCCCCACTTATCTTTCAGCATGTTCTAGGCAAAGGGTAAAATGGTTTGTTAAAGCACGTGGGTTTGTAGGGCAGGACATGTTTATGGACGGCACCTTCTCTAAACATGGGGCTTCGGTGGGGAAGAAACGGATATCCGTCTCCTTTGCTGCAGAAAACAATGACTCTGAGCTGTTGTTTTGCCTCCCTGCTGTAAAATTAATAGTTACCCATTCAGTCTCCTCACTTCACTTATCCCCAAGTCCCTTAGAAAAGAATTTAAATCATGCAGCAAAACAGTGAGTTTACCCTCCTTTCAAAAATCTTACCTAATACAGTCTGCTTGTGAGATACTTAAGTTTCACCCAGGTACGCACATCCATTTTTTGGCACAGAACTGGGTTGTAGGGCCGTAGTCAGCCTAGCCGGGAGAGCACATCCACGTCCTCGGCGCTTCGTTCTCTTTCCTCAAGCCTTTTTCTGAAGTTCACCCGTAGAAACCTTAACAAGGATGCCCTTTTTGACATCTGGTCTACTTCTACCGCTTCCTTTATACTCGTGTCATCTTTCTTGCAACTGTCAAGAACTTGAGTTTTAAATTGGAGGTGGTGGTGTGGCCGAGTCCTTCTGACCCATTACAGAAAGCCTCGTCCTCAGGCAAGGCCCAAGGCTAGCTTTTTGGCTGCTTTCTGCAAATCTAATCTCTTGAATACTCTTTTGCCTCCGTTCTCCTTTGACAGGTGCCATCAGCCAATACAGTATGTTTGTTTAAAAATCTATCCACTCGAGTAGACCTTTAGAGATGACCAGGTGACATCATTTCTTGGGGAGTTTTGAGCTGTCTAACGACATGCACAATGACAGTCTGACATTTCAGCAGCTGTTTTCTAATTGCTGGTTTGTCCATGTGCTTTTAAACATGTACAATCTACAAAACTGATAAACTATTTGTAAAGAACAGCATAAAGTTGTGTATTTTTTAACAGCTTCAGGAGCCAAAAAATTCTTTTTAGATGTATTACAACTCGCTTATTTATGACCCTAAACTTTTTATCTTTTATGGCTTAGCATCATCCAAGAGTGAGGAAGGTATTTGAGATTCAAAATCTCAGGTTTTATACCAAAAATTTTAATACCAAAACTTAATTTCAAATTTCTGAAGGTTAAATATCATTTCTTTTGAAGGAGACATCTCAAAGAAGGAAAAAGGAAAACTTTAGAAAAATAAGATTCTCTTAAAATGAACCGATTACTTATGTAACAAGAAGTTGATAGGTGTGAAAATCAGGTTGTTTCCAGTTGCAGAACTTTGCAAAACAAAGTCACTGGTGAGTGCTGAGAGCTCCTGAAGCTGGAGCTCAAGAAGTAATAGGGTGAGTTGTGTGTAGACCGTCAAGTGGTTTAAAAGCTTATCTTTCGGATAAATTCTTCTTCATCCCCTTATTCGACAGTTAGCGACAGGCTTACACAGATCCACTGCAAACCAAAGAGCTGGCTTAACGAATGAGTTGAGTTTACAGTAATGCCTAAGTTGTAACTACAACAAGTAGATGTGTGAAAGAGCTGGGGTGTACGCTGATCTGGTAAGGAAAGTCGCCAAAGCAAGTACTGGAAGTTTGTACGCTCCAGTGCATAGCTGGAACGGTGAATTTTCTTTTTTGTTGCTGTTGGTTTTTGCTCGGTGCTCGGGACAATGGAAGAAAACACAGCAGCTGAGAGCTTGTGATTCTTCAGTGGCTGCCAAGAGTTAACAGGACTGTATTTGGAAAAATCGCTCTCTCCCCAGTGAAGAAATAACAGCATTTCATACCAAAAAAAGAGCATTGTTGTAGCTGCTACAACTGGTGGCAAACAAAGGATCAGTTATTTGCCTGGAGCATTATGGCACATCAGCGAGAACCAAGAGTGGGTGTCTTTGTGGGGCCGATACTCAAAGCCTCAATTAGTGAGGACTTTACCCACATTGATAATAATTACTACTAATAATAACTGGTACTGTAATGTACTTTGAAAAGTACTTTACATGTTAACTAATCCTTAGGGCGATTTTGTCAAGCAGGCAGGTAACTGTCTGGGAGAATCCGGTGTCTGAAAGTGGTATAATGGCCCAGCCTGTAAAGTTCAGGTGCTCGGGGTTAAATACCAGTGGTCTGATTTTCACTGGCAGCGGGGTTCAGCCTGGCTTGGGACAGCTTCCAAATCAGAAGCAACTTGTGACATACTTTGCTTCAACCAGTTGTCTGAAGTTATGTACAACACCAGTAGCAATGAATCCTGTTCTTCTTGTTAGGTGTTCTATTACCCAGCGTTTAGACTGTGGTACACTTGTTAAAATAGAATAAAAAATATTCCATTCATGAAATTTTTAAATTTACAGGAAAGAGTTAACCTGAAATATTCTGCTCAGCTACCAGGATGTAATTATTTTTTTCCTCTCCTGCTTTCTTGTTCCTTCTGGTTTCTGCAAGCTGACGTACATGATCTGTCCCAAGGGTGCGCAGTGCACGGGCACGAGCAGTTGGGCATGAAGGGACCTTTTCCTCCAAATAAACCAGAATGGTACAAAGCTTTTAATAAAACCTGGAGCTTCTCTTAACAGGGCCTGGCAACCGTTGTGCTGCCGCATTTGTTGTTTGTAAAAAGTGTACTTTC